AAAGTTTACTCGAAGGTTTTGACACGTAGGATGCAAGAGAAATCGGAAAGATTTCTATGGGAGGCACAATGCGGATTTAGACCTGGAAGAGGATGCACGGATCAAATGTTTTCTCTCCGTATGATCACGGAAAAGCTTCTGGCTGTTAACCAGAAGATTTTCTGTGCTTTTGTGGATCTTGAGAAAGCATTTGATAAGGTTGTAAGGAAGAAAATGTGGGAACTGTTGCCGGGGTATGGTGTGGATGGCCGATTGCTAAGGGCTGTGCAGTCTCTTTACTGTGACTGTAAAGCCTGTGTGCGGGTAGGGCATGACCTCTCACCCATGTTTAGCGTCCAAACGGGCGTAAAACAGGGTTGTGTCATGTCTTCCTGGCTGTTCATACTGTATCTCGACAGCTGTTTACAAAAGCTGAAAGATAGCTGTTTGGGTGTGAAATTGGGTGACATAAAAGTAAATTGTCTGCTGTATGCTGATGATGCAGTGCTTATTGCACCATCAGAGGCAGAACTGCAGGCATTAGTCACGTGTATGAAAGAGGAATGTGAAATTAAAGGTCTCCGTTTGAATGCTAATAAAACTAAGGTTCTGGTATTTGAAAGGGACGAAGAGAGAACGAAGTGTGAAATATGGGTAAATCAGGAATGTCTAGAACAGGTAAATGAAATTGTATACTTGGGGAGTGTTTTTAGCCGGGATGGAAGATGTGATTTAGATGTGGACAGGCGTGTCGCTGCCGGGAACAAAGTCAATGGTGCCCTGACTGCGTTAGTCAAAAGGCAAGGCGTAGCGAAGAGTGCACGCCTTGCAATACATAACGCAGTGTTGGTACCGACTTTGTTATATGGCAGCGAAACCTGGGTATGCCAGAAGAAGCATAAAAGTAAGTTGAATGCAGTGGAGATGCGATCTCTTCGTAAAATGTGCGGCGTTACTATGGCCGACCGAAAGCGAAACGAAGAGATTCGCAATATGGCAGGTTTGAAAGATGACCTTATCACAAAAATTGATAAGGGCGTGCTTCGGTGGTTTGGGCACGTTGAGCGAATGAGTGAAGACCGAATGGTGAAGAAAATATATAGCGCGAAAGTTAATATTAAAAGGTGTCGAGGTAGACCGAGACTAACTTTCGAAGACCATGTGAGCAAATTGCTCGAAGAGGGTAGGGTCAAGAGTACTCGGATACCTAGACGTGCATGTATGAAGAAGATAATGAATCTGAAAGAAGCGAAAGAGATATGTAAGGATCGTGACACTTGGCGATCTGTTCTCTCTGGCTACCCCGTCAGGGATTGTGCGTGAAGATAAGTAAGTAAGTAAAGTAAGTAAAAGTAAATTATCCCTCCCGTAAAATTTAGTTTTTTTGTTTTGTAACGGTTTCGAAATATGTCCACAGCGAATTCAGTACATTTCAAATGTACTATGCAAGGCAATTGTCACATCCAAAATTCTTAATAATAATTTCTGTGTCACTAGTCAATTCCTCTTCACAGTTTTTGTATCTTACTTTATTTATTATACATGTTGTATTTTTCTTCGTCCTGGAATTCAACAGATTTTCCGCTTTCCTTTTTTTGTAATTCTTCTTTCTTTTTTTTTACTTTCTTCTTCTTTCTTTGTTTTAGCTTCAAATCTCTTAATTTTTTAAATCAATATGTCGTTCTTTTTCTGTTGCGTCACTTCTTTTGTTTCTGAAATTGTCTCCACTCTTTGGAAGAAATCCTATTGTTTTAATCCCATTACTAATCGCCGTCAAGGCTTGTGTTAATTGCTCTTCTTTGTATTGATGGATGGTTTTTTGAGATGATGGAATTCTAAAACAAATGATTTTCATACTAAAATAACCGTGCATAAATGTAACCCTTATTTTAAGGGCTTTAAGGTACTATTTTGTGCAACAGGACTAACGTCTGAGTACTGGATTTGTAGACTCATTGGACATGCAATTACATTTGTACGCAGCTGACTACTGGTAAAATACCCTTTTCGCCTTATAAGAGTTAAACCCAAAGTAATGAGCAAAATTGGTACTATTCGTTCCGTTAATTTCAACTACATATTAAGAAAATCACGAAAAAGCCAGTAGTCAGCCACTAATGGCTGAGTACTGGATCTAACTTAAAAATTCGAAACCCACTAGTCGGCCACCTAAATTACAACATATTAAACAAATAAAATGCATGTAATAGTTAATTTTATCAGAAAATAAACATTTAATTGTAACACAGTATAACAATTCACCACAAATCACAGCAAATACACAAAAAAAAAACTTACTGGAAACCATTGAGCTATGATGACTTCAATGCCGAAAACTTGAGCACGTTTCCTGAAGAAAAAAATTGTAACAGCGACGCATCTAGTCATGTCTTTGGCAGCAGTGGAAATTAACGAGTGTAGCTCGTCAACCTGACATGCTATTGGTTCGTAGGTGTGCGTATTACTCAATAAGGAGACAGATTCAGTTAAACGTTATTTTAATGGTGTAAACGAATTTCAACACTATTTATAATGAAATAATGTCTGTAAAGGCTGAGTACCGGATGTTTTATTATTATTGGTTAATTTTTGGTGAAAATATGAGTTTCATAACGAAAACGCCAAAATTAGAATTTTCATTACCACAAAGTTTGTCGTTAGACTATAAGTAGGTTATCCGGCTTTTATAACGTGATATGAAATATCATCTTAGAACGCGGTGTAGTTAATGATAAAGTATTTCACCCACGCGTTTGTAAATAGAAACCGCAATATAAGATTACAATAAATGTATAATGTTATATGTCACAAATGTAGGTAGATTTACTCACTTATGAAGCTGCAACGTGCCTCCAACATTAAATGTCAGACATCTGCATATAAATACATATTTGCATAGTTCAAGTACATTTACAAAATCTAAATATTCGCGCCATATTTTTAATCTAGCTATTGAGATAGCCACATCACGTTGGCGTCTTTGGTAAGTGACGAATTCTTTTATGCTCCAGTCACATGTCAACGTCATTATTAATTCTAATTTGTAATCATCGTGAATATCATCGTTATTCATAGCATGCACCTATACGGCGGCTGACTTTTTTTACCACGATGAAAAAATAAGGTGGCACAATATGAAATTTCTTGTTTTTTCATTGACTTTTGTATCACATTGACCTAACAATAAAAAACTACTCATTTGTAATTTGAAGTAAACTTTTTACGAGTATCTAGCGGCCGATTCAACGTCCTATGCTTCACAAATTCATTGATACTTACTCGTACCATGCGTAAAGTGCGGTGCACATGGTTTGAACTTCGTCATTTTTAATTAATAGCTTCTTCTATTTTGTCAAAATTAATAAGAATATCAAAATTTCACACATTTAATAATATTTTAATTGTTTAACTATTGTGTCTATCTCGCGAACAGAGACAGTTTTAAGAGGCAATAAATTAAGTTTTTCTAACGTAGCGCCGGTGTTAGAATATCCAGTACCTGATATCGTACCGTGGGGTCGAAAGAGGATACAGAGGGAAACTTAAACAGGAGATAGGCAGCAGCATCTTTCTGATAACAACTCAGAATAATAAATAATTGCAGTTGCCAACCCGCCTGCCATACGTGGCAACCAATATTTTTATTGTTTCAATAATAGTCGATCGGATATCAATTGCGCTAAAATTTTACAACTATAGGTACGTATCTATTATAAGAGACGTATATAAGTACGTGGTAGAGCTATATAAAATGTACAGTTGTAGCACGAATGGGTCGGCTCGACCGGGGAAGGACCACACTCTCACAGAATACCAGCGTAAAATGGCAGCTTGACACTGCTGTGTTTCGTATGGTGAGTGTAGAGAACCGGAGACCCTTTTTACTGGAAACGAGGCATTCCATCTTAGTCCTCACGGGTGACAACGCATCTACATTTTGATACGTAATCGAGGATAGATGTAGATGTCTATGAGCCACAGCATCCACTTAGCATCAGGTGGACTATGTGCTCTTTTGACACCCTTATTCTATTAAAAAAAATTACAAGTAAATCGAAGAATATTTTGATTCGCACACCCTTGTCCTATATAAAAAAAATCGAGTATATCAATATATATTATACTTACCATTACAGCTTATAATAAAAGTTCAAAAAGTTAAAGCCTATATACGTCCCACTGCTGGGCACAGGCCTCCCCTCATTTCTGAGAGGGTTTTAGGGCAAGGAAATATCCACCGCGCGGCCCCAATGTGTGTTGGCGAACTTCACATGTTTTCGAAATTTTTTTTTCTTATATCTCACACAGGTTTACACATACAGGTTTCTTTCACGATATTTTCCTTCAACGCCGAGCACGTTTTTTTTTATAGGATGGGGTGATAAATCTGCACTTAAAATTGCAATTAACAATTTCATTGGTGCTGGCGGGATCGAATCCGGGTTGCTCGCGTACTGTGAAATTTACAACGAGCACTAACCACCTGAGCTACCACAGCTCCGTAATATCTACAGCTAAACATAGCCTCCCCCATACATGGATTGGATTTTGACATAGTTGTTACACTTGACAAGCGGGTTGGCAACTGAGTTTGTTTATTATTTTGAGTTTTTATCTGTTACTTGTTCTATAATCTGTTTCAGTTTCGATCTGTTCCCTCTTACGACACACTGGGGTAGAAGATATTCTTACACCGCCACTACACGGTGGGGAATATTTATACTTAATAGCGATTAATTGTTCCTAAATAGTAATAGCAAGCCTTACAGATTTTTGCATGAGACTGTGATTTAGCATGCAAAGCCTATTTTGTCACTGAAAGTGACTGTTGTTGATTGATACTCTAGTAGACTGTAGTACTTATCAGTACAGTGACTTTAATGTTTTAATATAAAAATACATAAAATAACCTGCTGAAAACTATATTTATAATAAATATCAATAGTTAGTCTATATTATAATTCTTATAATATTGATATGTTCATTTACTTATACTACTGTACTATATATTTACTGTACAGGCATTGGTGCGTATGGATCGCCACATACCTTATGCACAGCGTATGCGAAGAGTTCAAGAGGTAATTCAAGAGGTAAGTGACAACACGTTTATTTTAAAAATAGGAAATTCTATCCAAAATAACAATTTATTTTTATAATATAGTTATAGTGACGAACGAGCATACAGTCCACATGGTGGTAAGTAGCTAATGCAACAATTGGACTTGCTTCTAACAAGAAGGCCAAAAGCAATATTAAGCCCGACAACTACGATGGAATGATCCAAAACCTCCTTACGTTTATACCATTATACACATATTGATAAAAGCAATTTATGGGTCTCATTTAAATAATTAATTTAAAATAAAAAATTGGTTTGCTGAATTTACTTCATAACTAATTTCTTTGTAACATAATATTGTGTAAAAAAAGTCATTTGACCTGTGGACGGGCGTTCGAGATATAAGATGCATGTGATTGACGTACACTTAATCGATCTAAGATAGCGAGTCTAAGAGTAATAACACGAGTTCACGAGTATGTTGAAGTATAATTTGTATAATTTACCTATCATAATGAGTGATATTACTGCGTAAGTTTTATATTGAACAAATATAATTCTTAAATTTGTTATTCCTCTTCAACATTGCTCTTTATGATTATATTTATTGAACTGGCGATCCGCCCCAGATTTGCACGGTTCATTTCTAGATCTCGAAAACAACGCCACCTACCGGGTCCGGGTGAATCTAAACCATTCTCTAATCAACTTAATCACGCACACAAAATTTCATCAAATTCGGTCCAGCCGTTTAAGAGGAGTTCATTCACATACACACGGACAGAAGAATTATATAACATATAATATACATGTAGTATACATATAAACTTTCCTCTTGAATCATTATGTCTAATAAATAAATAAATCGGATCAAAATCCGTTACATAGTTTAAAAGATCTAAACGTACAGACGGCGAGATGACTTTGTAGAGAAAAAAAAAACTTTGACTATGTAGAGAAAAGATACTAGAAACGAACATGACAATCTGAAGGCTACAAGTTTTACAAGTAAATACAATATTATGTCATGATTAATGTAGTTAACACCAGAACTCATCAAAGTTGAAAAAAATAACATGACAATAATTATCGTAATTTATTATTTAATAATGTTTATTTTGCTTAAAAGGTAAGAATAAATTACAAATGACCTTCTTTTTTAGTAATAACCAAAACCCCAGATGACATCCGAGTACATTTTATAAGTTGATGAACCTAATTGGTCGAGAACATTTTTACGCATTAACAAAGAAGTCGTAGAAAAAACACGAATAACACGAACGTATAAAGCCAGAGGATCGATCACATCGAATGTTGGTATAGTTTTGAAAGAATAACGCTTTTCATGTGACCGGCTAATATCTATTAGCCGGTCACATGAAAAGCGTTATTCTTTAACGGTTCCTGGTATCGTCTTTAAATTAAATGAATGCAACATAAAAATAACAATATAAAAATACTTTAATTGAGAAAATTCTTAAAGTCCGCTTATAACCTATCTTTTTTATTTTATTACCTATCTTTTTGGTATTTGATTTAAAAATTGACGTAATACAGAATGAATTTCGACATTTATTTAATAAGTTTGTAGTTACCGAGAGGGTTTTGTGGTATATATTACTTTTTTATGAAGTGATTTACAAAAAAAATGATAAATGAATGTAATAATAAAATAAATTAATAATATTTTTACGTTTCAAAGCCATTGAATTAATTAAAAATTCTATTCATAATACAAGACAGATTTATTTAATATTTTAATATTGCAATTGAAATTATATAAAATGTGTTTCATGTAGCATGCTGCATACGCATTTGAATTAATTAATACTAGTGGCATTTGTTATTAAGAACTTCAAGATTTTGAAGCATTGGTTGCGTATAAAGTCGCATTCCGAGTTTAATAATGACGATTATATAATAATAACCTAACAACTAAATAATTTTCTGTTAATATCTTCTATACGTGGCAGAGCCATGCTGCAGCTATATTTATAATATAGTTGTAGCACGAATGGATCAATTCGACCGGAGAAAGACCATGCTCTCATAGAATACCAGCGTAAAATAACAGCTTAATTCTGCTATGTTTCGTATGGTGAGTGTAGAGAACCGGAGACCCTTTTTACTGGAATCGAGGCATTCCATCCTAGTCCCCACGAGTGACAACGCATCTGCATTTTGATTCGCAAACGAGGATAGATGTCTGTGGGCCACAGCAACCACTTACTATCAGGTGAACTGTGTGCTCGTTTGTCACCCTTATTCTACAAAAAATGTGCGATATTGGTACTATGAAAATTGTTCAACTTTTTTATATTAGTCTCAGACCATCCAAGAAAACAGATAAAGCGCTGCGTGCATTTAAAATGATGCAGAAACTATGTACTTCTTTTTTAATAGTGGTAGAGCCATGCGGCAGCTTTAGCTGTCGCACGGATGGGCCGACTCGAACCGGGGTGGTACCACGACCTCACAGAAAACCAGCGTGAAGTAGAGGTTTACCTCTGCCTTTCGCTTGGTGAGTGCAGGTGGCCGGAGGCCCTTTTTACTGGAAATGAAGCATTCCATCTTAGTCCTCACGGGTGACAACGCATCTACATTTTGATTTGTAATAGAGGATAGATGTAGATGTCTATGGGCCGCAGCAACCACTTACCATCAGGTGGACTGTGTGCTCGTTTGTCACCCTTATCCTATATATACACACACTCACGAAAACATCTTTCTTTATCAGCCCGTAAAATTGTGAAGCCCGTGAAATCATGTTGTCGGTTGGAAATTATTTTAGATGCTTATATGTATTCTTACAATAATTTGAATACGGTTTTAGCTTAGTTTTTGGGTCACTAGTAAAGTACGCAGTGAGATATGACGGTTAGTAGTTATTGCAGCCTATGAATTCAACAATTCAAAAAAGGAGACTACAAATGCAATGTTTTTTATGAAGCCTTAGATGAAATGTAAAACAGACAATCTGCAATGATTTTCAATAAATATTTTTAATAAATTGCCGATTGCCCAGAGTTTACCACATGAAGATAGAATTTTATTAAGTCACGCCGATCACTCTAAAATAACAATTAAAAAGTTGAATATGGTTTTATTATTATCAATACTGTTAGAAGTCGTTTCGCATTAAAAGTACCTTGTGCTTTGGCCCATTTATATAAGGTTAAGTTTATATCTTGATTTATATGATATCATCGTAGTCGCCATTACAGTCTATCGAAAGTCCACTGATGAACATAGGCCTTTCACAAGGGACGCCACAATGTGCGGTTCCGAGCCATCTGCACCTATATATCGTATGTCGATACGACATTAAGAAGATCTAAATTAAATCTCATGACACAAAATCTTTTGTCCAGTTGGCGCTATCGAAATGTCAGAACACGGTGATCGGCATACCAGGGCGATTGAAGGGCATATCAGGTGGAGAGATGAAGAGACTTTCGTTCGCCAGTGAGGTGCTCACCGACCCGCCCCTTATGTTTTGCGACGAGCCCACTTCTGGCCTCGACTCCTTTATGGCCCAAAACGTCATTCAGGTTTGTATTATCAGAACATAACCGCTACTAACCTAAAATAAATTCAGATTTATGAGTTTCTAAATATTTTACAAAATAAAAATCCTTTTTCATATATTAAGTATGTATATATTTACGTCATAAATCTACGAGGAAACACAAATGTACTATTTATAAATATATAAAGCGAAACTAAAACTACTTAACTAAGATTTTCAAGCATTTAGCAAGCAAGTATAACTTCATAAGTTGCTACCATTTCTTAGTCTATCAAGTCATGCTTTTCACATTCTAATTAGAGTTTTTATTTATATGTTTTATTTTATATCTATGTATAGTATGGTAATAATAATGGTATGTTGTTTAACTAGGTACTGAGCGGACTGGCAAAAAAGGGCAAGACAGTAGTGTGTACAATACATCAACCGTCATCGGAGCTGTACGCCATGTTTGACAAACTGTTGATCATGGCGGATGGTAGAGTCGCCTTCCTCGGTTCACCTGACCAGGCCAGTGAGTTCTTTGAAGAGTAAGTTTTGATGTGCTTTGCAATTATATGAAATACTATTTTAGATTGGATTATATTATTTTTGATGACAGTGACAGTGTCTAATTAATTAAAATAATAATGTCCTTATTGTCGATGTATTTGAAACCAATATCACCAAATAATTCTTATATACATTATTTCTAGCCGATCTCGATTTTTTTCTTTTAAAGCATTATAAGAGTCATAGTTCAAACACAAGAATATTAATAAAACACCTTTTTCAACCGACTTCAAAAAAGGAGGAGGTTCTCAACTTGACTGTATTTTTATGTGTCATAACTTTTTTCTAGGTGAACCGATATTGATGATTCTTTTTATTTGAAAGCTGGTGCTTCTTACGTGGTTCCATACAAATTTGATCGCGATCTGACCAGTAGTTTTTGAGTTATCGTTAATAATGCGTATTTAATTGACTTCGACTACATTGATGATGTTATCATTTTATTTATATTGAAGTGGGTTGTACAAAATTTTTAATTTTACTAATTGTTTTTAAAGTGGATATTGTTTATCTTAAATTTTTTTTAACGCATAATAAAAAAAACTGTGCTATCAATAATAAGGGTAGGTTATATTCAGCATGACGACCGTGTGCCTTTAATGAATTAAAAATAAAAATTTTACCGCGTATTTAATGTTGTACGTTTAGGCTCGGAGCTGCATGTCCTGCAAACTACAATCCTGCTGACCACTATATCCAACTTCTTGCTGGCGTACCAGGCAGAGAGGATACGACCAAACACACCATTGACACAGTATGCACAGCCTTTGCCAAGTCCGAAATGGGTTGTAAGATTGCTTCCGAAGCCGAGAACGCCTTATTCCTTGAGGTAAGTAGTTTAAGCATTTAATTGAGATTCTTTTCTGTACCTAAAGATTAATAAATATGCTATAAATATAAGCAACAAAATCTTTTTTTCCTGTAATTCATAACAATAAGATATAGAAATAAAGCACAGGCTCGGAGGACCAAATTCTTTTATGTCTTGCAAACGTTTTGCATAGGATTCTAAATATTTATAGACTTTTTAATAAACTGATAAAATTGGCACGGATATTAGCACGGGCACAGTACGGACACAGCTTGGTGCTTTTATTCTTTGTTCAATGACTTTTTCTGCCACCAGGACGGTGCCACGTAAAAGTGAGGTATAATATTTGACAGATTTCATAGCGGGGAAGATAATTTGTTCGGAAAATGTAAAATTTAATGTTTCTTTCTGTACCATTTACTATATGTTATATTAATAAGCATAAAAATAAATAAACCAAACCATAAATATTTATAAAAGTAGAAAAATTAAAGAAAGTTTAAAATGTGCAACAAATTAAAGAGCAAACCAGGCATGAGGCATTGTATTGTATTGTATTAATATAATACTCTAGAAACTGGGAAACTTTTATTTCAAACTAACTTCTCAATTAAATGACATCGTGTAACAAAAAACTTTACCTCAGTGTCAACTAGCGACATCTGGTGAGCAGAAAATTATTAGCCCTCATTAAAAATGCATAAGACTGTAGGTTCCGAGGTCGTCTTTCAGGTGAAGACAATTTTGCTGAATTTTGCATTTCTAAGAGTCAGAGTTCATATCCCAGCCAGTGTCAACATTTTTGTATAATTATTAAAGTGATAAACGAACTTAATGTCTACCTATGGTAATTGGCTACTGCAGTCCATAGGTACCTGGAGCCAACTTCAAATTACTTAAAAAAACCTTTGAGGACAAAATCTTATACGTGGTAGAGCCATGCTGCAGCTATATTAATAATTTAATAGTATCTATAGTTGTAGTACGAATGGGTCGGCTCGACCGGGGAAGGACCGCACTCTCACATAATACCAGCGTAAAATAGCAGCTTAATACTGCTGTGTTTCGTGTGGTGAGTGTAGAGAACCGGAGACCCTTTTTACTGGAAAAGAGACATTCTATCTTAGTCCTTACGGCTGACAACGCATCTGCATTTGAATTCGCAAACGAAAATAGATGTAGATGTCTATGGGACACAGCAACCACTTACCATCAGGTGGACTGTGTGCTCGTTTGTCACCCTTATTCTATAAAAAAAACAAAAATAGAATGCCTCATGGTCCGTAAATGTGCGGTGCAGTGGGATGTAAGAGAGTGGTACCCAGGCAGACTTCTAGGCCGAAAAGAAGTCGCTACCATCTAGTAAAGTGTTAGTAGTGGTTCTGGTTGTGTCGTAATTTCTCCGTCTACTTTCGATTTTTTGACATAAGCTTTCGTCATTGTAAGGTTTTATATAAAAAGGTGACAAATGAGCACCTAACCTAATGATAATTTAGTACAGTGAACCATAGATTTTCATCTCATTTACAAAATAATCGTTCTTATCCCTGAGGAACAAAAATGGAATGCTTCATTACCAGTAAAAAGGGTTTTCCGATTATCGTCACTCACTATACAAAACAAAATATTACATTGCTAATTTACGCTGGTATTTTGAGCGAGCATTGTTCTTCCTCAGTCAAGCTGACCCACATAACACGTTGTACAGCCAACGTACATACATATGTGACTGCCCCAGAGGAGGGTAATGTTTTTCGAGTGTATGTACGTATGTTTATTTTTTTTTTTTGACACATTTTGTAGGCTACATGCCTGGATGTATCTTAACAAACGTGGCGTCGTTAGAATCATCTTAGTAGTAGGAGTGACGTAAGATTCTTTTCTGAAGTTTTTTTACGCAATTGCCGTTACAGCCTATTAAAGTACACTGCTAAATATAGGACTCTCCCATAGATTGCCTCATACGGGGGATATTTGACATAGATGCGTTGGCGAGCGTGTTGGCAACCGTAGTTTATTTTTTATTTTTAGTCTTTATTAGGAACACGCTGCTGCCCATCTCCTGATTTGTTTCCTTGTGTCTCCTATTACGACAACCACGGGATGATATGGGCTGGTAGGTATTGTTACACAGATTTGACATGTGGTCGGGTTTTTTCGATTACTTTGGACTTTGGACTTTTTGTGTTGATACTTGGGGCACACATTTAATAACTTTCGAATATTCGGAAATTGTCGGTGATGTCGCAAGTCGGCCAGGAGAGTATTATCAGTGATCGTTTTGTGGTTCAGCGTAAGATATCTGGCGGGTGGGTGGAGGCGCCGTGGGCGCGCGTGGCGGCGCTGCGCGCGCGGCGCTCGCCGTACAAGGCGGGCTGGTGCGCGCAGTTCCGCGCCGTGCTCTGGCGCTCCTGGCTCTCCGTCACCAAGGAGCCCATGCTCATCAAAGTGCGCTTCCTGCAGACCATCGTGAGTACACCTTCTAATGCTCTTTCTCTGAAAAAAAAAACAAAATGACGATCTTCCGATGTACTACTTTATGTACTGTTGTTCGCCGTAACTTTATGTTTCAGCCTTTCACCGCTGAGTCCATAAGCTTTGGAATACTACCTTCACATATTAGGAAACCAACTTCTGATACTGTATTTAAGAAAATGATATTGGATCATTACTAAGCTTGTCTAATTCTAGTGGCAAAATGTATTATTATCTGCAGCCAGGCAGACGTTGTTCTGCCTTTTCCGATGACCCTTCCTATAAAAAATCACTTATCGGGATAAAAACTATCCTATCTCTCAAGTTGGACTAAACTGCACACAGTGTGCCGAATTTCATTGTAATCAGCTTAGTAGTTTCGAAGTTCATCGCGGAAAAACATGGTGACACGTAATTTTTATGTATAAAGATTTTATATATGTATGTAATTATATGTTTAAAATATGAGAATTGTGCTATTTTTTTAATAATTTACAGTGTAAGCTAAATTCTTTACTGGTATTGTTTACTGTATGCATTTCTGCTTTGTTGTGAAGCCGTTTTACAGGTCTAAATTCTTTACTGGTATTGTTTACTGTATGCATTTCTGCTTTGTTGTGAAGCCGTTTTACAGGCATGAGTTGCATATGGCCAAATGTTCAAACCCTCAATTATTTGTAGATCTCAACATTCTACAGTGCACAAACAACAATCATTTGCACTCTTGAAAAAGAAGAGCCATATCGCTTGTCTCAAAAAGTAAAGGAAGCAGCTCTTAAGCAAAAGAATTACAATTACGACACGTCCTACATAGATATTTGTCTATCCAGCTGATTACGATATATTTATAATAAAAAATATAACTTGAGCTTATTTGCTTTCAAGAACTTTTTATAATGTGTATATCAAAGAGTAACATGCAAGTTTTCTAGATGGTGGCAATTTTGATCGGAGTGATATACTTCGGCCAACATTTGGACCAGGACGGCGTTATGAATATCAACGGGGCAATTTTCATGTTTCTCACGAACATGACCTTCCAAAACATCTTCGCTGTTATTAACGTAAGTGCGTCTATGAATTATTTATATTGATAAATAAATTAGATTTGTTATCTACGCTCATTGCGTTGAACTTTCTTGTTTGACTTCTTAATTAATTTACAATTTACTTAGCAAACTAATTACAATGTAGCAGTGATACCAACTTGATAAGAATTGTACATTACTAGTAATTACTCTTGTTTTGTTCAGAAAATTTTAAATTTGCTCAATTCTACATAAACTCTCACGCTGTCACCCAAAGGGGTAAGCAGAGACTACGGACTTCTATTTGGTACGATCCTGACACACTTCACTCGCCTCTTTCACTTCCATAACTCATCGTAAAGCAGCATTAAAATAACGTTACGTAGACTGGGTTCAAGCTAAAAAGTTAAAGTCACAACCTATAAATTAATGAAGTGAGCCATAAAATATTTGCAGCATATGCTTCACTCCGGAGGCTTAACTACTTTTTACCCATTTCCATCAAAATTACGCTTGCACAATCTTTACTACTCCCTATCCTCGACTATGCTGACATTTGTTATCTTGATATCACCGAGGAGCAATCAAACAAACTTGAGTGACTCCAAAATCTCTGTATACGGTTCATATTTCGGCTTCGTTAACATGACCATGTCTCAGAATACTGCACTAAGCTCAAGTAACTCCGGACAACGTTTTCGTCGGAATACTCATTTACTTTCTGCTTTCTACTGCGTCTTATTTAATACGAGTATATTAAGTCCTTCCTATTTAAAAGAACGTTTTAAATTGCTCAGCTCCTGTCATAATTTTTCCTTACGATCCAAAGAAAATTTTTCCCTCCAAAGTCCTGTACACTCCTCGACTTTTTACGACAAATCATTTTCTGTTCTTGGAGTAAGACTTTGAAACTACTTATCCCAGTCAATTAAAAGTGCTCGATCCTTAAATGTGTTCCAGAAATAGGTTAAGGAATTCTATTTGTCTCTCTAAACCCTCTCCCTTCCTCCGCTTAATTATGCTGAACATAGGCCTTCACATAGATTGCTCCTATGAGGATATTTGCCATAGTTGCCACGCTTGGCTGGTGGGTTGACAGACTGTTGACCTGCGACTTCGCCCGCGTGTAATATAGGTTTTAAATTTTTTTTGCGCGGAATCCTAATTCTTTTTTAAAAATAAAAGTAGCCAACTACTCCTTATAACATTAGCTGTCTGCCAGTGAAAGTCCCATCAAAATCGGTCCAGCCGTTTCGGAGATTAGACGGAACAAACTGACAGACAGAAAAAAAATTCAAAATTGTGTTTTTGTTATAAGTACAGTATATACTTTCATATTATGCATTTAGTGAAAAGATGTTATTTTGATATTACAATCAGACACTCCAATTTTATTTATTTGTATGTATAATGTATAATATCCATAATATGTACATATATAGATTAGCAAGAGACTGCCTAACTCCTGGTTTGTATCTCGCTGTGGCCTCTTACAACACCCACAAGACGATATGAGGCAGTGAATAAAATAAATAAATGATGAAAAAAAAATTATTAAAACCATCACCCAGGTGTTCTGCTCGGAGCTGCCGATCTTCATTCGCGAACACCACTCGGGCATGTACCGCGCGGACGTGTACTTTTTGTCCAAGACGCTGGCGGAGGCGCCGGTGTTCGCCACCATCCCGTTGGTGTTCACCACCATAGCCTACTATATGATTGGCCTCAACCCGGCGCCCGCGAGGTTCTTCATCGCGTCGGGGCTCGCTGCCTTGGTCACCAATGTCGCTACCTCGTTTGGTAAGTGCTCCCAGTCTTTATTTCTATTTTAACAAGCCTCATCTGTAATGAACATCAAAAATCGAATTTATTTGCGTTTGAAAGTTTGTGACACTAATATTAAATTAGTGTTGAATTTATTTATTAACCAAAAGGGAAATTAAGCTCATAAACATTTAAAGGAGAATGGTATTTTGGGCCTGAACTAATTGCTTTATACTTTAAAAACTTGGCCATATTTTTCTTAAGTAAAATACAAAAAAGTAGCTCTTTTTGCAATATAGATTTCGAAAAAACAATAAAATAAGAAATAAGTGATAAAATCGATTGTTGTATATTATTTATGGCAATAAATCAATTACCATAAAGAATAAACTAGTGAAATTCTCGTTTTTAAACGTTATCTTCCAATAGAGGACTTCTGTTTTTGAAACTTGACTTGACAATTCAAACTTCATACTATTTACTTAAAAGAAAAAGACAAATTTTCAATTCGATTTGAAACGAGCGCAATATAATCGATTCTCGATTAAATTGAACATTTTTTCTAATTTCGATTATTTTTCTGTGTCAACTAGGGATATAAAAAAATTGCGTACATACCTTTTTTTATAGGAGAGCTTATCACCAAACTTATAAAATAAATTTAATTTAATTTATTCGTATAATATATATCGGATAAAAGACAAAATTCGTTGACTTAATCACTTACTAAATAATAAAAATATAGTTCTAGTATTTTCCAAAATTTTGTTTAGGCTACAGGATAAAGGCACATACATAAATACAAGAAGAAAAGTATTAACTAATTTTCGGGCAACGGAAAGCTAAAATTTTAATGTACAAGCCGTGATTACGTGCGTGAAGATAAAGATAGGATTTAATATCTTGTCAGTTGTGCCCTAGTAGTGAGTGGTGGTGGTCTACACCAGTCTGATGATAATTATTGAGTAAAATTTTTCTAATTCAAATAGTATAACTATATCCCTAATATACTAAAAGTGGGTTGATAGGCCGTTTTAAACACATCGTATGTCGTCAAACAAGTTTCCCCCAACCGCAAGGTCTCATATTTCATGTAATTTTATGCCATCGATGGACTGTTTTATAATTTTCTAACTATAACTATGTTGACGTAACTGTTGTATTTGAGGCCCTTTTAGAATGAAGGTAAGGGCGATTATAAGATACTAGTAGAAGTTTGAAGAGCCTCCAAGGTAAGAACAATTGCTTCATAATAATTTAGAACCTTTACTGTCGTGTTTAGAAAAACTGCTCAAGGATGTTAAGAATTTATGGATCTTTATTGCACTTTTTAAATGACCTCGGATATGCATAATACGTGACCGTTCAACACACGTGGCTTGTGATTTTCCGTTTACCGAGTTAAAATGTTACATTGGCGAACGAGTATTTCATAAGTGTTATTTAACATTATGAGTTGCTGATGACGTTGCGAATATTACCGCTTACGTTTAAAACTAATGTATACTTTAAAAAAGTGAAAACTGACTTCAAAAACTAAAGAAATTAAAATAATGTCCACATATCAAATAGCTTCTGAAATCGGTCCTAATACTAACACATAACGTATCGAAAAATTAAAGCCTTTACTTGGGACCACTTAGGTGTAAATTATTTCATTATTTTTAGTTAGTGAAAAGTTATTAATAATTTAAAATTAAAAATTTTGTACAGCCGACTTCAATATAAGTTATTAAGAATAACTCAATTAACTCAAAAACTATTGATCTGACCTTGATCAAATTAATATGGGACCACACGAGAAGTATCAGCTTTCATATAAAAAAAGAATCATCGAAATCAATCCACCCAGTAATAAGTTATGAGGTAGCACACATAAAAAAAACATACGCGTCGAATTGAGTACCGCCTCCTTTTTGGAAGTCGGCAGAAAAGTTTAACTTTTTACACTTTTGAGTGAACTATTAAATATCTCAAGTACAAAACAACAAGAATTTTATCTAAATAGTGACAATAAATTCTTCATCCTTCATCATTAAAATTTCCCCTGGGAAAAATAGGGGATGAAGATTTTAATATAATATAAAATTTATACATTCCTTTTTATATGCATTCAATGTTAAATAATAAAGTGTAAAATTTGGCGGTGGACACATTATGCAACTTATTTTTCTGGGATTTTGTTGTGTAAAAGCGTTTACATTGCTTATGAATGAATTACTGACTTTGTGCAGTCGAATAGCTGGTTGCTACTACAATTTTTTTTCCTAAACTTAGTATTTACAGAAGAATGACCCTTATTTTTTTAAATTACTTAATTTTTTGGGCACATTTAGTACATTTTATAAATGTATTAAGAGCCTAAACTGAATAATATTTTTTTTTAAATATGTGCCTTAGAAACTCTTTAGGTTTTAAATCGTAGATTGCTTTTATGGCCGGTATCCGGTAAAACAAATATAATATCAGGGTTAGTAGCGTTTTCCCATAGCAAAATACCATACGACATTACGCTATAGAAATAACTTAATTAAACTAGTCCAGTTGTTTCAAGGCTGTTGAGACTTCTAGTCTTTTTACAGTCGCTAACTTGTTTGCTAATTTAGAAACATGAAGGACCCTATTGATGCCTCGCGTCTATAGTGAAAAAACATTGACATCAACACGACTTTTCAACACAACTCAACTCTACCCTATTTCAAATTATATTAGTATTTAGATATTTAACATTTTATTAATGTTTTATTATAGAGCACTCACCTCATTTCAGGTTATTTGATATCCTGTGCAAGCAGTAGCGTCAGCATGGCGGCCTCGGTCGGGCCTCCGGTCATCATTCCCTTCATGCTGTTCGGTGGCTTCTTCCTCAATACGGGGTTTGTACTACTCAATGTTAATTAAGTATATTATAATATTGCGCTTTTTATTACTTTTTCGGAATTACGAGAATCTGTCAGAGATACACCTTACTATGTCACGTCTGCTTCTTGTCGTTTTCTACCATTTTTCTACATTTTTTTTTAGTCAATTTGACGCATATTCTGTTTAATACAACCAATTTTTTTCTAGACCAGAAATAATCCATTTACCAGGGTTTATTTTCTGACTAGGAAGCCTTTATGTAACAACGCATCCATGTTTTTTATTTCCTCTTTTTTTACCCCACACTAGGATTTTCTCCTGTATCGTGGAGGCAGTTTACAAATATAAATTCAGACCAATATCCAGACCCGGAACAATTATTTATAGGCCATACAAATACTTGTTCGGATTCGAACCTGCGAACCTGCGGCCCCCATTGCTAAGCTACTGCCGCACGGAGCCGTTAAATCCCTTGTAAAAAAAATAATTGTTGTGTCCAAGTTGAAGGTGTTAAGGGGCCAGAACAATTTCTGTTTTCCTTTTGTATAAAACTGAGATGTCAAACGAACTTATGTAGTCTAACTGTAGCTTTAATTAAAGAAAGCTAGCGAGGTTGTCACCACCACGAGGATGGAATGCCTCGCAGTATGCAATCATACTGGCTCTGTATATCCTTCAGACTGGAACACAGAAGTGCTAGCACTTTTATTCGGCGGCTAATAGGTATGGTGGTAGCTACGCAGACGGATTGAGAGTCATTTCATTTTAACCCTCGAAATGACAAAAAAATCTGTGTATGTGTCTTCTAAGTTTCTAGCCACTTATTATCAGGTGGGTTGTAAGCGATTCTATGCGACAGTGATTTAGTAAAGTGTGTGACCTTCAAATGGACAGGTCGGTGCCGCCGTACCTAAGCTGGATATCGTACCTGTCGTGGTTCCGGTACGGCAACGAGGCACTGCTGGTGAACCAGTGGGTCGGCATTGACTCCATCGACTGCACGCGCGAGAACTACACCTGCCCCGCTTCCGGGCAGGTCGTGCTACAGACTCTCAGTTTCTCAGAGGTAAATTTTATTTTTAACCGACTCCGAAAAGGAGAAGGTTTTCAATTCGAGTGCGTTTTTTTTGTATGTATTTAACGCGATATCTCCGCAGATTGTGAACCAGTTTTGATGATGCTTTTTTATTATTAAACAGGTATTGCTTCAAGGTTGGCCCCATATAAATTTAGAGAAAAATTTCACCCCTAAGCAAATAAATAACTTCTTTTGTTAAAAGTTATAATTATTGGAAGTAAAACATCCTTGGTTGCGACTTGAGGGTAAATTATTTTTTTCGGACAGAGGTAACGTCAGTAAAATCTACTTATAATCCATTTCGTATTTATCAAGGCAGATACTGACTATATAGTATTTCATGAGTATAACAAGGTGTATAAGCAAATCAAAAATAATAAATAAAAATAATAATGAATACGTACACGAAAGATATAAATATTAATATATAAGTATATTATATTGTTATTTATATTACACGCACAATTTTTTAACACCTTCCCACGGAATCGCTGTCACACCACGCTTCCAGGAGCACCAACCTTCACGTGCCCAGTCCTCATCGGCTGATCTGCATTGCGATTGTGTGACTGGTGAAGTAGATTGCTTTGACATTTGGTTTCGTATTACATATTGTGTAAACGTATAAGTTCGATTAGTATATATGTATGAATATAGGTTATATCTGTAGTTTATTTATTAGTGAAATGTATATATTACCACAGATTAGTTAATAGTTTACTAAAATATTACGCAGTTCATTATCATTTCTGTTTTATTTTATTTTTTATTCTATATTGCTACACCTACGTCAAATTCTCACCACTCCATGGTTTAACATTGGTAGAGAATGCCTCAAGGCATTAAGTTTTGTGTTCTTTCGTTTTAAGGAATGCAATAAAGAATAAATTAATAAGTAATATATTATTTCAAGTTACGAATTATTACCATAATGAGTTAACATAATGCAGTTGCGGATTAATTCTCATCGGCAAACGATTTGCATCAGGTTACAAACGCGCAATGTAGTGACAATGTGACAATATCCACTACCCCATGCCTACAAACACCAGGAGATAGGTAGCAGCGTCTCCTGAATATTTTTTTTAAATAAGGGTGACAAACGAACACGCTGTCAACACCCACGTGTAAGTGGATGCTGTGGCCCATAGACATCTACATTTAACCTTAATTAAGAATCAAAATGCAGCTGCATTGTCCGCCCTGAGGACTGAGATGGAATGCGTCGTTTCCAGTAACAAGGGTCTCCGATTCCCTACACTGATCATACGAAACACAACAGCATTAAGATGCTATTTTTAAAATGAGGCATTTTACGCTGGTATTCTGTGAGAGCGTGGTACTACCCCGGACGAGCCAAGCCATTCGTGATGCAACCACAATATAGCAGCAGCATGGCTCTACCACGTAAAAGTAATAACGACCGTCGACGAAAATAATAATAACAACTAAAAAAATAAAAATAAACACAATAATAGTAACTATGACTAACACCCCCCCTATAAGGTAATCTATGGGGGAGGCCTATATTCAGTAGTGGACTTCTGATAGTCTGTAACGGTAAATAACGGTAACGGTAATGGTACAATCGCACTGCTGGTCTATGGCACCGCCGCCGACAACATTTTGCCTGCGTACGGTGAGGAGAGCGGCGCCTCGCAATACCGACACCCCTCTCCCCCATGGTCCCACCATCAACCGTTGCGGCCCGGCCAGATTTGCGCAGAATAGTGGTAGAAATGGTTAGGTCCGACGATAATTTAAAGTCAAATGCAGATGTACTTACATCCAATTCTTAAGATCTAGTTCCCGTGTCCGTCGAACCCTTATGGGTCAGGCCCAAACTGGGTGCATGTTCCAGCCTCTTTGATGTAGCTCGGTTGAAGCAGTCGATACTGTAGGTACACCCATCAATAACGCGGGGATGCGGGACCAAGGATTCGTATTCATCCATACTTACCAAGCGATTGGCTCCTCGCCATACCAACTAAAGTTCTGAAAGTAACGAATTAATGTATAAGCGTATATAATACGTTACTAAAAAATAAATTTTATACTTAGTAAAGTCAAGATACAGCTAAATTATGGTTGTAGCACTTAGTTTAAAGAATGTAGAGAGTCAGAGACCCTTTTTATTGATAATGAGGCATTCCATCTTAGTCCTTAAGGTGACAACGCATCTTGTTCCTAATCTCTATATATTATATGGGCCGGAGCGAGATTAAGGCTATATGCACATTCGAAATATCCCCTTTTGCTGTAGGATAGACCTTGAACGACCGATTGACCAAAAGTAATAGTATAGATATAATTTTGTTAATTTTACGTCAATGACTTTCGCCTATAAATTTTGTTTTACAGATTCAACTAGGTATCTTAAGCTGTTTATGTAAGTTTTGGTAAAGTTTTTACCTACAATAAGCCAGTGCTTGACACAATTCCACCTGGTGGTAATTTGTGATGACTGAAAGACAGATACCGATCAACGGACTTGTCCAGTCCACTCGGTTGCCCATGGGCGACAAGAGCCAGTATAAGGAGGACTGACAGTAGCCAATATAGTTCGTTTATCATTCTGATATTTAAAAAAAACCCTTTTAATATTAACTTTAAAGTTTTAATAATTATTTATAATTGATTTTGCAGAAAGACTTCACGATGGACATTGTAAACATGGTGCTACTCTTTATTGGGTTCAGATTCCTCGCGTACCTCGCCCTCCTGCTCCGGACGCGGCGTGGAAAATAAATTTTGTTATATGAAGACCGTTCGTTGTTCGTTTTTTTTTTTCAAATAAATATAAATTATAACTGTTCATCTTTAGAAATTTTTACTTAAAACAACATACCAGGCAGCGTTATTCGATTTTTATATCGAATAAATGATAACAAAAACGTAATAAGCTATCCTCTTAGATGCTTTATTTCTTCATTTGAAACTGGCAAATACTTTTGTGAAATTTAATTTAGCAATTTGTGTGACTTTAGTTTAGACTAAAGAAATTACTTAAGAAAAAATAGTTATTTTTCTACTTTCACTTAAGTATTATTTATATTGCCTCATTGTTCTAGTGGTCGTAAACGCAACTGCTGATCGTGTAGTCCTTGGTTTAAACTCCGGATCGAGACAAAATAAATTACCACAGTACAGGAAGTTAACGCTTAACTGTGTTTTACCTTAGTACCTCGTAAACACGTAAAGCCATTGGTCCTGTGCCAGATCTCACTCCGGTCGTGTCGGATTACCGTTTCTTCGGACTATGAGAGTGAGGGAATAGAGAGTACACCTGTACTTGCGCATACATTTCTATGGCACTATAATCGTGATCTGCACAGTGACCGAAATTCGGTCTGGAGGCAACATTATTAGTAATTATACCATTGAATCTAATACAAGTTTAATAGTAACAATATCATATTTTTATTGCTTGTTCTTAACTTTGAACAGTCAAGAAAATTAGTGTAAAATAATAATTTTAATATTTTCATTCTAATAATGAAATAAACTTAAAGAATTATTTTTAATAGTAGCCAACTTGTACCTGAGAAAAGATCGTTTTCCTCTAAGGTTTCGAAGGTCCGCTGGCAGTCGCTTCGAGTTGAAACCAGTTCCTTGGCCAAATTATTAAATACCTAGAATATGATTTTATGATATATTTTCCCAATTTATTCAATATTCATATCGCTTGTTAATTTCATAATAATTCTTTTTAGTTTAGTGTCTGTACTGTTGTGTTAGTGCTGTTTGATTTAAATTGAATTTTTTACCGAATTTATTTTTATATTTGAAATAGTTTTAAAAGCAATTAACTAATTTTAACGTAAAAACCCAATATGTTTGCATTAATGTTTCTGTTAATTACGTTTGTAATGAAATTAGTATAAGTATCTTGTATCTCTGTATATTTTGACGATGGTTATAATATGTGATTAAAACATGTTTAAATTTTTCCCTTTTTTTCCCCTTTTAATATTTAATTACGCATTTTACTTAAAAATCAGGAAAAGAACTTAAATTGTGAAGTAATATTTGTTATCTGTTTATTCACTTCTATTTTCAATAGTTTTGAATTATTGTAAATTTTTCTTTTATATTAATAAATTGTGTTATGTATTATAATATATTATCTAGCAAGGAGCTATTTAATATGTATATTTTTTATTTTAAACAACCGCTAATACTATTCCTTTGATTAAATTTTGTTGTTGTTTTATTAAATAAAAATGCATTTTGATAAGTTGTTTTTAACTTCGTACAGTTGTCGTTCAATTATTAATATAAAAAAATATTTATATGCTTCGTGACAAGCAAAGTCGAAATTTTTGTCACAATAATGATAATAACAAAACATTGGAAAAAAAAAGCTTTTTTGATGAACCAGCCGAAGATAATGCGCACTTACTTAGCTTAACAAAAGCCTATTCACTCATACTTTAAAGACACGTACATTATAATCGTATGGAAGGCAGAGATTTATACGCTCCTTTCACGTGGTTATGTATTATGCACGACGACCATGACTGCGACATAATGTATCTAAAATTAAAGGCCCTACTTCGATGATTTTATTAGTTTTAGTTTTTTGAAGTACGGTTTTTACTTTTATAGCTTTAATCATTTGGGTCAATTCAATAATTTAATCATTTTATCATTCATACAATGTTCACACTTCGAACCCTAATGTAAAACACACATACACACGCGCACACGCATGCGTGCTTGCGTGCGCACCTCTCTCGCCTCCTTTACATCCATATACGTAGGTCACTCAATAAGATTTGAGATGCTCGAAATTTAAAAATGGTACGCACCCGTGTTACATGTTTCTAAAAAGCTAAATTTATTTAAAAATAGAACTCCATTAGCAAATTGCTCAATATTTAAAAAAAAAAACAAAGTTCTATTAATTTTCCTGCAACGCTTTCCGCGCTTTTCATTTAAAACGATGGATCTTTAACCGTAAACATTTGCACGCTATGATATATTATGATTTTAAATTTGATTCAACCGAACAATTAAGTTTACAACCATTACAATCAGCATTAGGGGGACTCAGCTCCATCACGCGCAACAATTTTAGGTGGTTTGCTGAATTCAAAAGGGGTAAAATTAATCTTAAAGATGACCAAAGAACCGTACCCGACAAACAGCAGTAACGGCAGTAAATGTATGTACTACTGAAATGTTGGTGCGAGAAGACCCACGAATCACATATACGGACATAGAAAATATTGTAGGCATTAGTTCGGGGAGCATTCATACCATCCTACATCAACATCTTGGAGCGATCCCCCGTTTGCTCTCCGAAAGCGAAAAACAGACTCGTGTGGATTGGTGCCATGAAATACGTCTGCGTTTTGGAAACGGGGCATCTAGGCGTGTTTCAGAAATCTTTACTGGTGTCGAGACATGGATCAATATGATCCGGAAAATAAAAGGTAATCATCGGTATGGGTCTACTCAGAGGGACAAAACTGCAAAGACCTCGCAACGTCGGCAAAAATTGATAGCAATTACTTTTTATCGCGAAGCGGACATTTGTCGACGTTAATGCTGGAAAATTGTAGGTCAGTCAACTCTGAATGGTATACTACAGTTGTATTACCCAAAGCTCTTCCAGCTGTGCGGGAAAGAAGTCCAAAGACCAGGCTTCGGGGAATCTTGCTGCATCACGATAACGCCTCTTCACATACCTCCCTTAGAACAAAAGTATTTATTGAGGAATCTGGTGTTAAAACTATAAGTCACCCATCCTACAGCCCTGACTTAACTCCTAGTGATTTCTTTAACTCACTTTGAACAAATAAAAGGCAGGTTTTTTTGTTCAGAAGCCGTTAAAGAAGCCGTGGCTGCCTACGAAGAAGCGATTTCCGACCTGTCAGATCAAGACTGTCAAAAGTGTTTTCAGAGTTGGTTTAGGCGAATGGAACTTTGTAAAGAGCCTGATGGAGAATATTTTCAAAAGATCTAAAATAAATATTAATAGTATCTAGAATACTTTTTGTATATCTCAAAACTTATTGAGTGACCTACGTATCTACGCATACACACTCATCGGTTAAGGGTACTCCTAATCTGGTCCATTTTCAATGTATCGCCGATTTGGGCGATAAACCTTCGTCATGAAAAACTTGTTAAATAATCAATAAAATAAAATAAAAATATTACCGAACGGGATGGTCTACAATAGTGAAATTCAAAAGGCTTCCTAAGGATTAAAATCTAAAGCTAACAAAACAAATTAATTGATAAGTTCTGTTTTTCGAAAGATATCTTCATTTCAGCCCTTCACAAGTCAACTGCTGAATATAGGCCTCCACCAAGGAATGCCACAAAGCACGGTCCTGAGCCACCTGCATCCATCGACTCTCTCCATGTCTTACCAGGGCGTCCTCCATATAGTGGGGGGACGCCCTACGCTTCGTCCGCCGGTACAAGGCAGCCACTCGAGAACCTTTTTTCCCTATCGGTTGTCGGTTCTTCGAGCTATATGGCCGGCCTATTGCAACTTCAGCACTAATCCTCTGGGATATGTCGGTAACTCTGGGTCTACTACGGATGTCCTCATTTCTAAGTATCACCCAGAGAAACCCCGAGCATAGCCCTCTCCATAGCTCGTTGAGCGACCTTGAGCTTCCTCTTCCGGCCAGCAGTAAAGGACCACGTTTCAGTTCCATAGGTCATCACTGGCAACATGCACTGGTTGTACAGTCTAGCTTTTAAGTTAAGAGGTATACTTGACGAGAAGACATGCCGTGATTTCCCGAACGATGCCCAGCCGAGTTGAATCCGTCGATTGACCTCTCGGTCTAAGTTGAACTTACCTAGTCGGACTATTTGTCCCAAATAAACATACTTGTCAACAACTTCGAGCTTAGTGTCCCCAACAACTACCGGCATAGGTGTGACATGGATGTTATACATGATTTTTGTTTTGTACGTGTTCATCTTAACACCTATCCGTTTGGAGACACTATTGAGGCCATAGAGTATAGTGCTTACGTCCTTCAGCGATTCTGCCATAAGAACTATATCGTCGGCAAATAGAAGGTGAGTGATGTACTCGCCATTGATGTTGATACCGTTCTAATCTAATCTCGCTCAGACTGGCAGGACAGGAATATCATCGGAATAGTGTCAAATAAGACTTGCTCTTGGATCGTTACTCACACTTGCATGTGGCTCCAACGATAATGTGTACAGCCTCTCAATCTCGCCCAAAATCTCAGGTGTCCCGTAAACGACAGACAGATATCTAGCAAAGACTTTGGAGCCCTGGTTCCGCTCGATCGCTTTTTCAATACGTGCTGTATTGAAGTTGCGTAAGTCCCGCCGCATATATTTGGAGATCTGTCTGTTCAGTTGCCTGTACGCTGTCAAATCTCTACGAGCTTGCCATTCATATCGTCCACTGCATTGTAATCTTCTAGGCACAAAACGGTTTTGTAGCTCGAGCTGAAAGATTTCGGGACTCTGGATTAGAGCACGAGTGGGACGGAGCGTTGACTTCAATAGGCGAGACCTCTCCAACTTAACGTTTATGTTCAGTGTGTCTCTCACCATTCGGTGATTGCTACCAATTTTCACCCTCGCGATCGCTGAGACAGCACTGAACAGTTGTGGTCTGGTCGTCATAATGAAGTCAATTTCATTTTTTGTCGAACCGTCGGGGCTCGACCAGGTCTACTTCCTATGGGGCCTATTCTGGAAGAAAGAGTTCATCATAAATGGTCTCTCTTTCTCCCTGA